GGCCTCATAATTTGGGTGCACAGTCTCTGTGTAGGGTTTCTGATCTGCGGTAAATAAAGAATGTCACTTTCTAGCAGGCCAGGAACCCAACTTATCTAGGAACCCCAAGAGGAGAGGAATTCACCCAACTCATAGGTATTTGGTGGTACAAATCCACGGCCGGGCTTGGCTTTAAAAAGGTGTTATCTTAGATTCCTTCTACGGAACAAGACAATTTAAAAGGCCTATTTAACAAATAATTATTCTTGCTGCACTGTATGCAAATAATTAAGCCAAGTATAATAAAGCAAACCAGTCCTACCATAATTTGTCTTTTAATAAAAATGGGAAACTGGAGAGAGAAAATTATGTTTCAAAAACTATAGCACACCTGTTGTTAAATTCTAGTGTTGCCTAATGTTTTTCAATTTTTATTATTCGTACTGTTTAAGTTAAATTCTAATTTTTCTGGCTACAAGTTTCCAAAATAAGCTGTGCTTTCTTAAAGCCCTATACATTGAAAACTAGATATTTCAGCAGGTGCTGCCTCTAAGCTCCCCGACTCTCACAGGAGGAAATAAAGAAATAGGAAATCTTAAACTGAAAAATCATAAAAAGATAAGTAACTGAGAACTACTCATCTTACCCGGTCTCACCCTTACCTCACTAAATACTTCTGTTGTTCCTACCTCGCCTTCTAAGCCAAATATTAAAACTTTTAATGAAAATTATGTACTATGCCACCCCTGTGGGAACTGCTTTACTCACTCTGCTCTTTGCAGTAGGAGTATATGCTGTAGCACCCTCAGGGTGGAATATCGGACAGAGAATCTCAATTACTGTAGCATTTTGGTTAATTATTATTCTCATCGCAGGAATAATGGTTATAACAGAAAATGACACATAGGCCTTTCCAAACATGCACCTCTGCCTCTCATTGGGTGAGGAATATTGTTTCTACCTCAACCAATCGGGCCTAGTAAGAGACACTGCTGAAAAACTTGAAGAAAGGACTAAAAAGCTAAGGGAATACCAAAACAACCAAATAGATTCTTGGTTTGGGAATAAAATTGTATCATGAGTCATCCCCATTTCTGGGCCTTCTCCTAATAACATGCCCAGGACTAATTTTCTTACCCTGCCTAATTAACTTGTTTCAAGGATTTTTAACTGACAGGATCATGGCCATTTCACAGACAACTACCCCAAAACATCCACAGATGGCGTTACTCCTACAGTCAATCTGAGACCAGAAAACTCTCCATCCCCTTCAGCAGGAAGTAGCCAGAAAGAACATGCCACCCCTCTTTTATTTTTTTTTTTTTGAAACAGAATCTCACTCTGTCACCCAGGCTAGAGTGCAGTAGCATGATCTCTGCTCACTACAACCTGAGCCTACTGGGTTCAAGTGATTCTCATGTCTCAGCCTCCCAGGTAGCTGGGATTACAGGTGTGAGCCCACCACACCTGGTTAATTTCTGTATTTCAGTAGAGATGGGGTTTCCACTGTGTTGGCAGGCTGGTCTTGAACTCCTGACCTCAGATGATCCACCCACCTCAACCTCCCAAAGTGCTGGGATTACAGGCATGAGCCACCGCACCTGGCCTTTTTCTTTTCTTTTTTTTTTTCTTTTTTGAGATGGAGTTTTGCTCTTGTTGCCCAGGCTAGAGTGCAACGGCGTGATCTTGGCTCAATGCAACCTCTGCCTCATGGGTTTAAGCAATTCTGCCTCAGTCTCTCAAGTAGCTGGCATTACAGGTGTGCACCACCATGCCTGGCTAATTTTGTATTTTTTTAATAGAGATGGGGTTTCACCGTGTTGGTCAGGCTGGTCTTGAATACTTGACCTCAAGTGATCCACCCGCCTTGGCCTCCCAAAGTGCTGGGATTACAGGTGTGAACTACTGCACCTGGCCGCCCCTTGTCCTTTTTGCCACTATAGGGTCTGGATTGACAGAGCAGGAGCATTGCCATCTTGGACAAGCACTGCCATTTTAAGTTTTGCCTTGATCAAAAACTGCCTAAATCCAAAGGGCATCAGCCTAATGGCTAAGGTCAGCATGACCATAAACCACAAGTAACATCTCCGACCAGAAACATTCCAAACTCCTCCCTGACCAGAGACATGCCAGCCCCTCCACTGGAGAGATGTCAGCCCCAGGATAACCTCCCCTTCAACCAGAGACATTCCAACTCCGCCATAAACTTCTCCCTCACACAGAAACATTCCAAGCTCTCTCACCAATAAATACTCTTAGTCTAGGCCAGACACAGTGGCTCACGCCTGTAATCCCAGCACTTTGGGAGGCAGAAGCAGGCGGATCACAAGGTTGAAAGATTGAGACCATCCTAAAGAACATGGTGAAACTCCGTCTCTACTAAAAAAAATACAAAAATTAGCTGGGCATAGTGGCACATGCTTGTAGTTCCAGCTATTGGGGAGGCTGAACAGGAGAATCCCTTGAACCTGGGAGGCGGAGGTTGCAGTGAGCTGAGATCATGCACTCCAGCCTGGTGATAGAATAAGACTCCATCTCTAAATAAATAAATAAATAAATATTCTTAGTCTGTAAGAGAGAGCACTCCTGACTGAAATCAGTCAGAAGCCCCTCTCAGGTTTGACTATTGAGCTGCTTTTCCTGTTTCTTTCCTCTTTCTTTAACTCTTACTGTGACTTTAAGGCAGATTGGCTCTAAGCAGTTCCCAGTTTGACTTTTCCTTTTAGCTTAGTGATTTGGGGCCCCCAAGATTTATTTTCCTTTCTTACTACCCAGGATTCCTTGGGGTGAGCTGCTCGTTGACTAGACTGCCTAGCCTTTGGCCCATGCCAGTGAAGCCCCTGTCCCCATCTCTCCAGCAGGCCACACAACACCTTCTGGGAGGTGCCACTGGCATTGTATCATGAGATAAAATAAAACAATAACTAAATAGCCAGGCATGGTGGTGTGCACCTGTAGTCCCAAGCTACTTGGGAGACTGAGGCGGAAGGATTGCTTAAGCCCAGGAGTTGGAGCCTGCAGTGAGCTATGATCATGCCACTGCACTCCAGCCTAGGTAACAGAGTGAGACCGCATCTCTAAAAACCATTTTTCTTTTCTTTTTTTTTTTTTGAGACAGAGTTTCTGTCTTGTTGCCCAGGCTACAATGCAATGGTGTGATCTTGGCTCACTGCAACCTCCGCCTCCCAGGTTCAAGTGATTCTCCTGCCTCAGCCTCCTGAGTAGCTGAGATTACAGCCAATTTTTTGTATTTTTAGTAGAGATAGGGTTTCACCATGTTGGTCAGGCTGGTCTTGAACTCCTGACCTCAGGTGATCTGCCTGCCTCAGCCTCCCAAAGTGCTGAGATTACAGGTGTTAGTCACTGTGCCCAGGCCTAAAAAACCATTTTTTTTTTTTTTTTGAGACGGAGCCTTGCTCTGTCGCCCATGTTGGAGTGCAGTGGTGCGATCTTAGCTCACTGCAAGCTCTGCCTCCCAGGTTCGCACCATTCTCCTGCCTCAGCCTCCTGAGTAGCTAGGACTATAGGCGTTCGCCACCACGCCCGGCTAATTTTTGCATTTTTAGTAGAGATGGCGTGAGCCACCGTACCTGGTCAAAAAAAAAAAACTTTTAAAAATAAATAAATATTAGAACATGTGGGAAAATAAAATTAATTTAAAAAAACAGTAACTGCAATAGCAACAGCTACTATTTACTGAACACTTACTCCACCTCATTTAATCACAACTCTTTGAAGTAGGTACTATTATTTCCATTTTTACAGATGAGCAAATTAAGGCTCAGAGATGTTAAGCAACTTGCCCATACAGACAGTAAGTGTTGCTGGTGATTCAAATCCAGGTCCATCTGGCTTTTGGAACTCATGTCCTCACATTCACTGGTCTGCAGCGTAGCACCAAGTACCTTTTACCACCCTGACCACCTCCTGGGTACTGCCCTCCTGCCTGCAGGCCTCAACACCACGACATCCAGCTAGCCCCTATCCCCTATGACATCCTTCTCCCTCCTGCCAATGAAACCCAATAGATCAGGCTGCCTGATAAGAAAATCTCTTGTGATGCCTTGGACTGTGGCATTCATCCTAAATGCCTCCCTAACAGCATGGCCCATTGCTCCTTTATGAGTCTGGCTCACGTTCTTACTGAGTTTTGCTTATGCCTTTTGCCCTTCTTGGATGCCCTTCCCTAACCCTGCAAGGGCCACTCAGTTGAAGTTCCAGAAGACTCCAAATTCCTCAATCAGTCATCTCACACAATTCTGGGTTCCAGAGCCAGAGGTGCCCCCACCACAGAAATCTCTGGCTCAGTGCCAAGTCAGGAAGCTGCAAAGAGCAAGGAGGGCCTGAGTTCCAGTCCTTAAAGGATGGGGAAGGGGAAGGACAGCCAGGCAGCTGTTCCTTTCAGATCCCGAACCATCAGATTTTTCCTCCAAATCTTGCTTGGGACAAGGGGTTAAATGATGTTGACAGAAGTGGGATTGAAGAAAGAGATAGGAGTGGTTGAGAGATTGCCCAACACTTTGAGACGCTGAGGTTGAAAGATGGCTTGAGCCCAGGAGTTTAAGACCAGCTTGGGCAATACAGCAAGACCTCACCTCTTAAAAAAATAATAATAATTATATATATATATATATTTTAAATTAGCTGGGTGAGGTGGCGTCCACCTGTGGTCCCAGCTATTTGTGCGCTGAGGCAGGAAAATCGCCTGAACCCAGGAGATGGAGGCTGCAGTGAGCTGTGATTGTGCCACTCCAGCCTGGGTGACAGAGTGAGACCCTGTCTCAAAACATATAAACCTGTGTGTGTGTGTGTGTGTGTGTGTGTGTGTATTCCAGGGAACATTAAGACTTAGAGGCAAACTCCAGAACTTAAAGACAAAAAATGAAAGTGCTAAGAAATTCCGTGCTTGTGGAGAGACAATTCCAACTCTTTCCCTGAACCCGGGCTGAGTCCCTTCGCTATGAGGTTGTGGGGATGAGTGGGAGCCCAGCGCCTGGCGCCGAATGAAGGCAGCCATTGTGAGTTCCTGGCCTGAGGAAGGGAGGCTCAGTGCCCAAGGATGTGACCCGGCGTGAGGCCCGGGGAAAGAACAGCGCAGCAACCCCGCAGTATCCTAGGCGACAGGGTGTGGGCGGGAGGGTGGGGAGTCAAAGGCGGAGTCACGGGCTCCGCCCTCTTTCTCCAGCTTGGCGCGAGCACAGGCTCCGCGTGGTTCTCACAACTAGCAGCTCGGCTCAGTGAGACCCTGTGCCCCAGAGGCTGCTCCTGGCTGGGGTGGCGCTGCAGGGGAACCGCGAGCTCTCAGGGGTCGGCGGTTGACTTCTTTCCGGAAGAAAGCGAGAAACTTGCTCTGCGGGGTGAACTGGACTCTCCAACTCCGGACGATCAGCCCAGGACTGAGAGTCCCGAAGTCCCCAACCACAAGTGAGCGGCCCCAGAAGGACAAGTCTAGGTCGCTGTCCAGAGCGCCATGGCCGCGCCCGCCCTTCGTTTGTGCCACATCGCCTTCCACGTGCCCGCGGGGCAGCCCCTCGCCCGGGACCTGCAGCACCTCTTCGGCTTCCAGCCCCTGGCTTCGCGGGAGGTGGACGGCTGGCGGCAGCTGGCCTTGCGCAGCGGCGACGCTGTCTTTTTGGTGAACGAGGGCCCAGGGTCTGGAGAGCCGCTGTATGGGCTGGACCCGCATCACGCCGTCCCCAGCGCCACGAACCTGTGCTTCGACGTGGCGGACGTCGGCGCTGCATTCCGGGAACTGGCAGCGCTGGGCTGCAGCGTGCCTGTCCCTCCCGTTCGCGTGCGGGACACGCAGGGTGCCGCCACTTACGCTGTGGTCAGCTCGCCCGCCGGCAACATCAGCCTGACCTTGCTGGAGCGCGCCGGCTACCGCGGACCCTTCCTGCCCGGCTTCAGGCCCGTGCCCTCTGCGCCTGGCCCTGGGTGGGTCAGCCGCGTGGACCACCTGACTTTGGCCTGCACCGCCGGCAGCTCCCCCACACTTTTGCGCTGGTTCCACAACTGCCTGGGCTTTTGCCACTTGCCGCTGAGCCCAGATGAGGATCCCGAGCTGGGCCTGGAAATAACAGCAGGGTTTGGGCTTGGGGGACTGAGGCTTACAGCCCTGCAGGCCCAGCCGGGCAGCATTGTCCCCACTCTCGTGCTGGCTGAGTCCCTGCCGGGGGCGACGACACGACAGGACCAGGTGGAGCAGTTCCTGGCCCAGCACAAGGGGCCAGGCCTGCAGCACGTGGGGCTGTATACGCCTAATATTGTGGAAGCCACTGAGCGGGTGGCAGCTGCTGGAGGCCAGTTCCTGGCTCCCCCTGGGGCATACTACCAGCAGCCAGGAAAGGAGAGGCAAATCCGAGCTGCAGGGCACGAGCCTCATCTGCTTGCTAGACAGGGGATCCTGCTAGATGGTGATGAAGGCAAGTTTCTGCTTCAGGTCTTCACCAAGTCCCTTTTCACTGAGGACACTTTCTTCCTGGAGCTGATTCAGAGGCAGGGGGCCACTGGCTTTGGTCAGGGCAACATCAGAGCTCTGTGGCAGTCTGTACAGGAGCAAGCTGCCAAGAGCCGGGAAGCCGAAGGATGCCCAGAGCTGAGTGCAGCCACCTGACCTGCAGCTCTGGGGAGACCAGCATAGAACTGAGGAACATCTGCAGGAGGCCCAACTAGTGAAAGACTTTGCCTCCAGGGGGCAGGTGTGACTTCCATCTCATCGCGCCTGCCAGAAGCTGTGTCTCTCACTGGGCTCCAAAGAGGTGGGATTTTTAAAAACTAAAACATTTCTTATATATAGTCTATAATAAATATGTAAGATACAAAAAACAATAAAAGAATTACACACTAGGAAACAGAACATAACCAATACTTTTGAGTCCTCCTTGTGTTCCACTGTGATTGTTTCCTCCCACCCACTCCACAAATCCTGTCATTATTAGCCCTTTGCTTTTCTGTCGTTTCACTCCGTATGTAACATAACCCTAAATAAATGATTTCATATTTGAAGTAGGAATTTTTTTTTTGTTTGTTTGTTTGGTTTTTTGTTTTTTTTGAGACGGAGTCTCGCTCTGTCGCCCAGGCTGGAGCGCAGTGGCCGGATCTCAGCTCACTGCAAGCTCCGCCTCCCGGGTTTACGCCATTCTCCTGCCTCAGCCTCCCGAGTAGCTGGGACTACAGGCGCCCACCACCTTGCCCGGCTAGTTTTTTGTATTTTTTAGTAGAGACGGGGTTTCACCATGTTAGCCAGGATGGTCTCAATCTCCTGACCTCGTGATCCGCCCGTTTCAGCCTCCCAAAGTGCTGGGATTACAGGCTTGAGCCACCGCGCCCGGCCTGAAGTAGGAATTTAAAACAGAATAAATCTTCTCCTGTGCTTCCTCTCCCCCTAGGGAGCGACTGCAGGTGGGAAGGGGCTGGCTGGGAGTTGAGCCCAACTACCTTCTCCAGAGTGATGCCACTGCTCCAATCAGAGCTGACCTGAGACCTAGACAGAGGTTGTTGGGTGTCAGCCACTGGCAGGTGCTCCCTGTAGCTGCCTTGCCTTTCTCCTGGGGGATAGAGGACAGATCAGTCTGGACAGAACACCCACCCCCTGATCCCATCTGCCCAGGGCTGGCTGGCAGTTCAGCCAGAGGAAGTCAGGACCAAGCAGAATGTCACCACTTTTCTGGGTCCCTCCTTCAGATGTGAGGAGTAAGGGACTAGGGAGAGGGTGGAAGGCTCTCCAAAATAGCTATAAAAGGGCGGGCATGGTGGCTCATGCCTGTAATCCAAGCCCTTTGGGAGGCTGAAGTGGGAGAATCACATGAGGCCAGAATCACCTGAGTTCGAAACCAGCCTGAGCAACATAGCAAGACCCCCATCTCAAAAAAATACAACACAAAATAACTACAAAAATAAGCACTTTATTAACAACAGGATTCTCAGGGAATGGGGGCTTTCAGAAGTGTCACTGGGCTGCACTGTTGAGGTTGGATGCATCAGTGGAGATGTGAGGCCGAAAGAAATTATCCAGGACTTGCTGGCCCATGCAGGGCTTTTTCTGACTGCACGGAGAGGACACCTGGGACCTTTTGGAACCCTGTGAAAAAATGGAAGGCGGGAGGCCTTGTAGTTAGGGGAGGGGGAGCAGAGAATCCTCTCCTTGTTCTCCCTCCCTTTCCCTGACTCTACTGATCTAGCTCAGGCTTAGCCTGGAATGCTGTAGAGCTTTCATCCTGCCTCAAGTAACTGTCCCATCAATCAACCTCCCAAAAGGCTGCCTGAGGGAATCGAATTGTCCTAAAACTGTGAATCTGACTCTTCTCCACCTAAAATGGGTCAGCAGCCTAGGGCTCACACCCTGACTGACTCAGCAGACCCTGTTGACCTTTCCAGCTAAACCAACTGCTCACAGCTCCTTGAGCACTGCAGCCTGAACTGGGCCCCACCTTTGCTCACACTACTCTTGGGACTGGAAAGAACATCGCGATGGTTGATTCCCCTCCCAAACCTGAAGAAAATGATTCATTTCTAGGACCCAGATTGTTGTACCCAAGCGAGTTAGAGAAACGCTACACTTTGAGACGAATTTAAGAGTCCTGGCCAGGCGCGGTGGCTCACGCCTGTAATCCCAGCACTTTGGGAGGCCAAGGCGGGCAGATCACGAGGTCAGGAGATTGAGACCATCCTGGTCAAAGCAGTGAAACCCTGTCTCTACTAAAAATACATAAATTTAGCCGGGCGTGGTGGCGGGCACCTGTAGTCCCAGCTATCGGGAGGCTGAGGCAGGAGAATGGCATGAACCCGGGAGGCAGAGCTTGCAGTGAGCCGAGATTGCGCCACTGACCTCCACACTCCAGCCTGGGCGACAGAGCGAGACCCTGTCTCAAAAAAAAAAAAGTCCTTTATTAGCCGGTGACCGAGAAATGGCTAACGCTCGAAATTCTCTCGGCCCCAGGAAGGCTCCATTTTCTTTATACTTCAGTTTAGGAAGGGGAGGGGGAGTTCAGCTGCAACAATTTTACAGAAGTAAAAACATGTAAAAAAGTTAAAAAGACAAATGGTTACGGAGAAACAAACAGTTTCCAGGTGCAGGGACTCTAAATCTTTCATAAGATGTTATATATGTGGGCTCTCTTGGACACAAACTCAAGGCTTTATGGTGTTATCTCTTGAGCAAAATCCTGGGAACTTCAAACATTGCTTGCTTCAGTACCTTATCAGTTAACTGGACTCTTTGATATGTTGAGAGTCTGCATACACAAGTTAACTCCTTGAGGAAGGGGGTGGGTGAAGAGTCCTTGAAACCTATTTCCAAGGCTTCATTTACAGAAGGAGCCAAATGGAGTTGTCTGGCTTTCTCAATGAAGGGAGAGCCTATTCATGTGGAAACAAGGCTAGGTGATTAAGGGAGAGTCTAAAACAAGGTTAGGTATTACAAGATTACCCGCTGCTCCCTCCAAACAGCCTTTCCTGATCCTTGTCTCCCAGATAGAACTGACAGCTCCCATGGATGGGTGTGGTGGCTCAACACCTGTAATCCCAGCACTTTGGGAGGCCAAGGCGGGCAGATCACTTGAGGTCAGGAGTTCGAGACCAGACTAGCCAACATGGTGAAACCCTGTTTCTACTAAAAATACAAAAATTAGTTGGGCGTGGTGGCAGGCACCTGTAATCCCAGCTACTTGGGAGACTGAGGCAGGAGAATCACTTTAATCTAGTTATCAGAGATTGCAGTGAGCCGAGATTGGGCCACTGCACTCCAGCTTGGGTGACAGGGCAAGACTGTCTCAAAACAAAACAAAACAAAACAAAACGAACTGATGGCTCCACAATTCATATCCCACAAAATCCAGTACATGCATTTCACACACCTGTGACACTGGAGAGTCCTCATCATTTTTTTCCTTTCCCTCTACCCTGCACCCCACAATGCAAGTTCTCCAGGTCAAGAAATATTCCTCTCTCCAGTGAAGCCTGGAGTGGAGAATGTTCACCCAAACATTCGCCAGTTAACTGACTAAAAACCCATGGCCTCAGGCCTGGGGAGACAGGTTGGGAGAGGCCTAGGAGACTTACCTTGCAGGTCCCTGGCTGTTGGCCCTGATACACACGGAAAACCTAGACAAGAAGACGGGGAGGTGAGGGCTGGCACTTTTTCCAAAAGAGATAAACCGGTGTTCTGCCCTTAACTTCATGTCCCAGTACTTTTGTTTAAAATATGTTTTTTTGGCCAGGCACGGTGGCTCACGCCTGTAATCCTAGCATTTTGGGAGGCCAAGGTGGGTGGATCACTTGAGGCCAGCAGTTCGAGACCAGCCTGGCCAACATGGTGAAACCCCATTTCTAAAAATACAAAACATCATGGCTGGGTGTGGTCACACCTGTAATCTAAGCATTCTGGGAGGCTAAGGCGGGTGGATCACTTGAGGTCAAGAGTTAGAGACCAGTCTGGCCAGCATAGTGAAACCTCATCTCTACTAAAAATACAAAAAAAAGTTAGCAGGGTGTGGTGGCTCAAGCTTATAATCCCAGCTAATCGGGAGGCTGAAGCAGTAGAATAACTTGAACTTGGGAACCAGAGTTTGCAGTGAGCTGAGATCATACCACTGCACTCCAGCCTTGGTGACAGAGGGAGACAGCGTCTCTCCCCACTAAAAATAAAAATAATACAAATAATACAAATTAAAAAATAAAAAATCAGCCAGGAATGGTGGCACACGCCTGTAATTCCAGTTACTTGGAAGGCTGAGGCAGAATCACTTGAACCTGGGAGGCAGAGGTTGCAATGATCCAAGATCATGCCATTGCACTCCAGCCTGGGCAACAGAGTGAGACTCCGTCTCAAAGAAAAAAGAAAAAAAAAAAAAGCGATTTTTTTGGCCAGGTACAGTGGCTCATGCCTGTAATCCCAGCACTCTGGGAGGCCGATGCGGGTGGATCACTTAAGGCCAGGGGTTTGAGACCAGCCTAGCCAACATGGTGAAATCCCCATCTCTACAAAAAATATAAAACTTAGCTGGGCATGGTGGTACACGTCTGTAATCCCAGCTATTCGGGAGGTTGAGGCACGAGAATCACTTGAACCCAGGAGGCAAAGGTTGCAGTGAGCCAAGATCGCACCACTGTACTCCAGCTTGGGTGACAGGGACTCCATCTCAAAAAACAAATAATAATAATAGCCGGGCACAGTGGCTCACACCTGTAATCCCAGCACTTTGGGAGGCTGAGGCAGGCAGATCGCCTGAGGTTGGGAGTTGGAGATGAGCCTGGCCAGCATGATGAAACCCCGTCTCTACTAAAAATAGAAACAATAGCTAGGCGTGGTGGCGGGCACCTGTAATCCAAGCTACTCAGGAAGCTGAGGCAGGAGAATCGCTTGAACCCAGGAGGCAGAGGCTGCAGTCAGTCCAGATAGCGCCATTGCACTCCAGCCTGGGCAATAGAGCGAGACTCCATCTCAAAAAAAAAAATGCTTTTTTTCCTGTTTACATGCTTGTGTTCATGTAGGAAACACAAGGAAGTACAACAAAGACAACAAAGGTAGTGCCTTTTTCATGGCGGTGGAAACAGCTGCGGTGTGAAATTCCTCCTGGGTCAGCCAGCGAGCGCCTGCTGGTACGGTGGTCACTGGGGTCTGCCCTTCCAAGGCCAGACCATATACTTGATATGTCAGCTTGATGTGAGAGAAGGTGTGGACAACCTGGAGGAAGGGCCAAGAGGTTCAAATAGGCCTGTGGATATAGCCTCAAAAGCCACCACCCTTGGCCGTTCCACTGCTCACTTACCTCCCCAAGGTGCCGGAGGCGCGTGGCTGGGAGGGGCCCAGCCCAACGCTGTAGTTCCCGCAGCAGGGCCTTGCGCTGGAGCTGCTCTGAGGGCTCCCAGGTAACGGACGGGAATTCCCACAGTCCTGCCAGCAGACCTGAGAGGGAGGGCAGCCAGGCAGGGGTCAGGCCTCAGCTGCCGATTCCCTCCATTCTCCCTTGTTACTCACGCCACTGCCTTCCACGCCCAGTATCCCACGCCCAGTATCCAGGTACCTGAGTTGGGCCTCTGCACCAGCAGAATGTGGGCACCCCCA